AGGGTTAGGCATTCATTTTTAATGGTTAGGGGTAGGTTAAGGGGCAAGGGAAAGCATTATATCAATGAAGGTCCTCACTAAGATAGCTGAACGGGGTTGGCTGTGTTTGTGTGTAGACTCAGATACTCTGAGAAAAAAACGGTTGTTTTGTTCCCCAAGAAATGAAAAGTAATACAGTTTAAAAATCACATTAAAATCTCCTTATTTCTAGCATTTATTTTCAAGTGTACCAAAGTTGAGATGTGTGAGAGTGCTGTCAGATTAAACGGATCATCTATAACAGAACTTGATATGTGAGAAGAGACATTTTTGTTTATTGTAACCTGTGTCAGTGGACTCTTGTCTCTGTCTAAAGGGCCTCTTTGTCTGCGCTAACCTTCACAAACAGAACGCACACGCAGCAGCTGGCTGTGTATCTGTGGGCAAGACAGAAGCACAAAGACATCATGGTTCCAGTAGTTCTGTGTGGACAGTGTTACGAAAGAGGAGGCCGTCAGATTCAAGATGATTCATGATTCCTGGAAAGAATCGAGGCCTTCATTTGGCTTTGTTAGCACACACCTTTGTTTTAGATTTCATTAAATGAAATGCACTGCAGCTGCAAGGGGTCCATGTCCAGGTCAAATTCAGGAGTGTTGAAAGAGAAGATGACAAGAAGTTGCCCTAGATGCCAAAGAGCTTGAAAATTTCAGGAGTAATTTCTGAGAATTATTCTGGTGGTCAGAATGCACCCTGATCATCTCACATTTGTAAAGAAATGTGAGATGATAAGCACGCAATCTACTGTAACCTTTGTTTTAAACTGTGGTACTTTTGTCAGCATCTTTTCATCTCATCTCCTCTCCTGATTGTGAGGCACATATCTTGCAATGGACTGTACAGCAAACCTATCAGCCTGTCTCTGATGGTGTCTTTAATCTGTAACGCGCCCACAGAGCAAACTGCACTGCACAGCCTGCTTTAGAGTGACGGCCACTTAAAAAGGGTTTGGCATTGCAATGAAGAGGAGCTGTGCAGGCCGGACATCTTTCTCACTCCCTCACTGATGTAAAAGATTGATATCTTAAAGTAAGCAAACTCTGTAAAGTCTATTGTGAAACATGATCTATGAACTGTGTGATGGGAACTGACAAGGAGAGTGTAATGGTAAAGACTCAAGATCACTGACCTGAAACTGGGTTAGGTTTAGCCCAGTTTCATTGAAATGGAGTGAAAAAATAATCCTGTAAATTATCTTTCTTGTTCCGATTCAGTGGGTGCTGGCTTTTGAGATTTTCATCCCGCTCGTCCTTTTCTTCATCCTCCTGGGTCTGAGGCAGAAGAAGCCAGCAATTCCTGTCAAGGAAGGTAAGCAGAGTGTTTGAGAACCTAAAGACAGCAGTGGGAAAAGTAGACGTGGGGGTGGAAGCAATACATTTGGCTGAAGTTGCTAATAACCAGGATTAAATGTCTACTGCATCTGTCCTCAGAATCAACAACATTTCAGCCCTCGTACTGTTTACAGCAGTGATTGCAGCACAGGTGTTAGTGTCTCCATGATTTAGGTTAATCTAGTCTGTCAAAGCTACATAAACATTTTATATTCAAGTTCAGCATGTTTAGAGAATATTTTTATATATATTATCAATTATAATGATCAAAAAATGTTAACCTAAAGATACATAAAATGACTAGACCAGCATAATAACTGTGTGAACAAAAAGTGCAGGTGTTACGACCCGTCTAGGGCCAGGCAATAACATGAGTGAGGCACTCGC